ACCACATCATTACTTCTTAAAGTAACAATGGGCATCTCTTCTCGTATATACACGAAGTATAAACTGTGTCGTATATATAAACGATACAGAAAATCTTTTCTCAGCAAAACTAGGATGATAATATATTTAAACAAAAATGCCATATAAACGAATCGTCAAATTGATAATGTTGACACTTAATTTTTTGTTATTCAAAACGTGTCATGATATGTAAAATATGCAGGAAATAAACAAAGTTTTCTAATCTAATAAATGCAGAGACAGGACTGTTTAACAATGGAGTAAAACACACAAACTCCAAACAGAGAGAGTTGCAATGAAGAGTAGGAATCCCCTGCTATGCATACATCACCCGTTATGTGAGTCCATCCGATACCATCGGTACACGTGTATGAACGATCGAGGTAAATACACTGAGAACCGACAACACCGTACAACCAAGACACGTTGTACGTGCACATATTAAGCATATTCTCAATTATTTTACTTTTATTTGTCAACATTTAAAAAAAAACTAGCCATTTCAATTGATATTTTATAGTGTGTCTTTTTATGTTGTAATGTTACACTACTGTCTCAGGTTAGGGTGAAGGTTGGCGCCTGTTAAAAACGCATTTGTATACACCTGTCCTAAGTCAGGAGTCTGTTGTTCAGTGGTTGTCTTGTGTTGGTGTGGTCCATAGGTGTTTCTCGTTTTTATATAGATTAGACCGTTGGTTTCCCTGTTTGAATTGTTTTACACTAGTCATTTTAGGGCCCTTTATAGCTTGCTGTTCGGTGTGAGACAAGGCTCAGTGCTGAAGGCCGTACTATGACCTATAATTGTTAACTTTTTATACATTGTGACTTGGATCGAGAGTTGTCTCATTGGCACTCATACCACATCTTCTTATTTATATAAGATATGAAAAATGTAACGGCCTACCTAAAAGCTAGTATGCGATCAAAGATTATTTACAATTAAAGCGCTTGTTTATGAACATTTTATCATTTCTAAAGTTTTCAGCGATTCAAATGCTTGCTTTCCATAAATGTTGGCTATATTTAACAGTCTGCTGTTGAAACAACATTCATTTTGACGGCCAACTTTATTAAGTAATTGTATAGACGTAGACATGAATGAAGTGAATCTATAATGTATTTTTTGTTCAGCAGTGGGGAATTGTTCGTGTCTGGCAAACAAATAATGCATTCTTACTACGAAATACATAATTTTCCATAACTGTATTACTTATTTTTCAGAGAGAGAGATTACAATCAGACCTGGCCTACTTAAATCTCGGGAAGGACTACAATTGTATAAGAACTGTAAGATATTTAAAACGACTTCCTTCTGTTGTTGTACATTGCAAAGGACAGAAATATAAAAAAAACTTTTTGTTCGACATGTTACTTTTTTCACGAAATTCTCATATATCATAATAATTTTCGAGTGTTCTCATTTCTGATTTTCAAGTTTGCTGAAATTGGACAAATGTTCTCTGTAAAATATTGAACTTTAAACAGTTTGGAATAAAGTTGTAATTACCGGGATTTATCCAAATATTTGAAAACATTATAAGATATTTTTTATACAAATCATCCAAATCAAAATTATATCCACTATCTACGATAAATATATTTATACAAAATATTTGTCAATTTCTGATCAGAAATATTTACAATATTTGACAAAAAAAAAAAAAAAAATACGATACGGGGTTCCACATATACTAACCTAGGATCGGCGCCGAGCTCTCCATACACCATTAAGCGTGGTGTTGATTTTTCATATTTAACAAACGTTTTCAGAACTACAAATGGACTCTTTGTATTGCATAGATATTATCTCAGATTTTGCATTGATGCGATGAGAAAATCATCATTTACCTCACCTTAAATAATATCATGTCGACAAATAGACAACTTTTAAAAAATGCCTTGTTATATTTGTGAATATTAAAAAGATGGTTTAATATGTTTAATTACACTAAAGAAAAATGTCCTTGTTCAAAAATATTCTCACCATGGTCATTATTATCATTACATTGTCTTAGAAATCATACCTGACTTAGGTCTTTTTTTTTATCATCAAACAAATATAAATAGATATGGACTAATTGATAAGACAGTTTCATTTTACTATCTGTTAATACTTTATAGTATACTATACATATATATTTTTCATTTTCATTTTTCAACCTGTCAAATTACCGAAAGACATATTGACATATTTGACTCGAAACAGCTTTTTAAGAATAATTTTGGATGCAATTATGTTTGAGTTGCATTCTAATCGAAAAAAGATATCTTAATCGCATTAACACGTCGTTAATACACATTAAGTTGCAACAAATTCTGTTGGGCAAGACTCATATTATCATTAATAATTTTAAGGGCATACGATACAGTTACAGGGGAGGTAATGACGTTGCTAACGTAAATTGTTATTTTCGCGACGTCAAACGTTGACTTATCGGGAAAATATGCAGTTTTCGGCTGATTTTTATCATTCAAACTGATTTAACTTCAAAACGAGTTCATGGACCCCTCTTTTTTAAAATGACATTTGGTTTGATTACGTTAGAAGATAATGTGTACCAATTTTCATGAAAACGTAAATAGTGCAATTTTTTTAAATTTGATTAATATACAGCAAAAATTGACGGTTTTTTTCTACATTCATGAACATTTGAGAAATTTGTGCTATTTGTAAAAATAAAATGTACAAATTTATACAATATTTATATAACACATTAATTACAAATTATTTAACAAAAAACAGCTCGTGTTTATCTTTTAAAACAAAAAAGTTATGTATTTCTATCGAAAGGAAAAATAAGTCCATAAATCCGTATTTTGAGAAAATATCTGAAATTTGAACCTCAATTTACTCAAAAAGTAGCACATGAAGGGATATTTTTTATTACATATTTGATTTAATCAGGTAAAAAATAGCCTACATGCAAATTTTTATCAAAATTTCAATATGGGATCAAAACTGTATCGTATGCCCTTAACGAGGATGTGTCATCATCATCAAAGTTACGAGTTTTATACCTGGGGGTAAACAAACCGTCTTAGTGATTCAAAGCGTTAGCATTTCAAAACGAGACACAGTACGCAGTTTAAAAAAATATTAGAAATAATGGGAAAAAAATTGACAGCTACTATGTTATACGAAAATTTAATATACTATTAATATTTGGCAGTACAATTTTTCGTGACAACCTTAAGTATTTCCAAAGATGTATCGTAACACTTCCCAGACCAATGAGACCTCCGAAAAATGTGTTAGTAAAGCTTACTCTTACCTCGTGCACTCTGAAGTCACTCTTTGCGCCATCGAAGAACAGTGGGCAGAAAATAACAATGCGAGGGGGACAGACCATTTAGTATTAATTACAGCATTAAATACTGATTTTGTATTGGTTGAAAAATTACCCTCTCCGATTAGAGAACACAATATTGAATGGCTAAAATGAAATAGTGATAACGATAATTACAAGAAAGATCTTCATATTTATGTTTTTGTCATTTTAGATTGAAGAATATAGGGATATTAATGGTAATTTTTTTATTCCACCAGACAAAATTCTAACAACGTTGCCGAAACACGTAGTTGACTGTCTATATCAAAGGTAGTTATTGCTATTTTTTTTTTAACTTATAGTGTGATTTGTAAGAATATTTTAACAATAGATTTGTAATTAGATTATATGTCCTTGTCGACAAATACGTCTCAGACAAAATTGATCTTATATTTTGCTGTTATTTAAGCCCCTTTAAGTTTGACGCTCTTAGAAATGTATGTACTAGTACTTGGAATCCCAGACCTGAATCATGTCTGTAGTCTTTTATAAAGTACCATCTTGTATATAGTTATTTTTTAACCAATTTACTCAAACTCTTGGAGTTATACTGCTAATGGAACTATACAATTACATTTTCTATACTTGATCCCAAAATCTCACCGGAAATCTGACACATGCAGCAGAGCATGAATGACAACCATGAACGGGACCAGAATTTGAGATATGGGGCATGAATGTCATTTTTTTTAACGTTTTTATGAGAATTATTTTTTTCGATTTAAGGGGAGAATGCACTCGCGTTACGCCCTCGCCTAAATCCACCATGGTAAACAAGATTTACGATTCATATTTTGTGTTTCCTAATTAACTGAATTGTACATACAGTCATACTTTTTCCCGTTGCAGAATAACAACAACAATACAAATATTTTGTGCTAAACGAAGTCGACATGGATCTATTAAGGACGGATGGAATATATGTGTGGATGGATGTTATAAACCAAATGACATAACACGTATTCATGTGATAAGGTATGCAAGTTATCTGGGGTAGTATATATACTAATATATGTATTGTTTTTTCCTAAATGATTTCTATTACGGAAATGATTTTCTCATTTCTAATGCTGTAACTTATTTATATTAAAAATTAAATATGTTAACGATGCAGAATAAGTTTTTCAAAAGCTCCAAGCAATCTCTGTAGATACATGCATCTTGGTCTGAAACATGTGGTGTTCCGAGTGTAGTATACCGTGCATGGACTAAATTAAGAAATGTGTTAAAAACATTATGTACTATGAGATCAGTGTTTATGTCGGTAGCGTTGAAAAACCTTAACATCAATGTCATTTTTTTGAAAAAAGTAACTATCTAGTGAATTGCCATTGTCATGACTTAAACATACGAAGACAGGCGATGAGCTAATTAACAGCTAGAAAAAAGGGAAAGAGAGTTCTAAAGAAACAGATCGGTAAACGAGGAAACTGATAACTCACCCAAAATCGGAAACGACATCAAATGCTCGGGTTTTATTATCAAATCCTGCTTAAATTATACACTTATTGATGATGCGATTACTATTGGGAAAAAATAAATTTTAATTCCTATCAGTTATCAATGGTCTCACTTAATTCGATGGTATATATTACATGAATAAGGGAAGTGGTAAAGACGCATAATACAAAACTAGTATTTTACAGCACCGTCAATGATTCTGTGAATATTCAAAGTATAAACCAACATTACAAGGCGGTGGTTACCAGTTACATACCTAGGTAAGTTTACAACAACTGACTGTTAAAGACAACAATACAAGTATCTGATCAGTCATAATTACTTGAGATGAACGAACAAGCAACATCAAATTTTGAATGAATGAAGATCTCGTAGCGATTTAACAATATAGGGGACGTAATCAAGAGGCTCCAGTAGTTAACTAATGTTTTAACCTTGTACATCCATTTGAATATAGAAACAACCAACAGATTTAAAAAAAAAGTAAATGATGATTTGGCCCCATCAATGTTAATGTAGATGATAAAAAAGAAATACACACAGTTTTAAAAAATATAAAATTTTGACTGGGATTTGATATGGGGAATTATCTTAATTCTCTGTTAAAGGATAATACCACCAAGTTAAAGTCCAAAAATGTTAAATCATTATTGTAGATGTTTAAAGGACAACTTTTTGAAAATATAGCTGTGAAATGAAAAAATAAAACATTAGAATTAAAAAACCATACTGTATTAATGTTTATTTTAGTACAAAGTCAAAATCAAGCAAAATATATGTAACTCCAAAGAAAAGAAATGGACAGACTACAACACTGGACATGTGGAGCGAAGTAGTTAATTATGTGTCGGTAATTCAATTCTGCATAATTTTTAATTCATTCACATATACACGGTAGGTATAGTGTCCGGCGGAGATCGTGTTTTTTCGAGTGAATCGGTCCACATTTTTCGGGATTTTTCCAGTGATAAAACATGCGATCAGGTCAATTAACTGCTATTTTATATATTAAAATAGTTTTATTCATGACTGTCCATTTTATTTTGACTACTATACATGTTTTGAGCACAAAAGACTCACAATTTCGTTGTATTTAACCTAAAATTCAGTGTTTTGCATTGTCCGTGTTTTTTTGAGAGCAACAGTTTTTAAAAAATGTTCGGGATTTTTAACAAAAGGTCCGGGTTTTTTGAAGAAAATGTGAATAAGAAGAAAAGGCATTCTTGAACTTAAAAACTGACTTTTTCTAGTTTATAACTGTAATTAAGTGAAGGACAATATTATTTATTCCCAATAATTCACCAAAAAAAAAAAAAAAAAAATATTACAATGTTGATCAAATTTAACCTTTTTCAATTTAATGATAACTTTCTGTTCTAAATTTTTTTTTACCATTACCTAGCAGTATTACGATATATAAGAACCGAGTACAAGGACTCATATTTTTTTTTAATTTCATTGCATGCTACCATGCTTACATTTGTTTTAACAGTCAATAATATTTTATGATTGATATGTATTACAGTGACGAAAAAAACATAGGAGCAAGAAAACTAAGGAAAAGGAGTAAACAATCAGAAAAAATCAATATAAACACAAAGATTGTACTAAAAGAGGACCCCCGCCCCCCCTTCCCCATTAAAATTAATAAATTACAATAACATTTGAATTGAATGGAATAACCAATAAAAAATGAAAACAACACTTTACAATTTTATGCTATATGTCCTATATGACTAAAAGGACATAAAAAAATAACCAAATCCATCTATAAGGTCAACTTTGCCTGATGGGTTTGAAATCTTAGCCTCTTTATAATTTTTAGATTTATAAACGAACAATTCTAAACGATTCATTGTTGGTTGTTTAACGTTCAGTGGCAAATGTGTCGTGCATGTTCAGGACGAAAACAAGTTAACAATAGATCTAATAAGTAGATCCTGTAACACTCTCTCTACACGCCCCATTGTGACCGGACGTGGCTGCGTTCTTGAACATCCCACACAGCCAAACGGACGTCTCACTTTGACAAGAGTCGATCGAAAGATGACTTAAGTGACCATATTTCTCTTTCCTTGTCCCCCTTGGAGGTAAATAATTTTAGAAAGGTTTGTTATAAATCATGTCAATACCTAAGTACTTACCACTGAGCTGATGATAAACTCGGGGACTTGTCCAATGTATTCAATAAACAATGGAATAAATAATCTCTAAGCTTCAATACGATCCTTTTGATATAATAATAATAAAAAAAAAAAAAAAAAGAACAATAGATGTGTATATGATATGCGTTCACCTCACTACTATACATTGTTTATTTTTTAGTTACGCTGGTGCTTTATTACTGTGTGATCAAGCATAGCATATGCTTGATCAGACTCCTCTTCACAGTAGGAGCAATTGAACATTGTTCTTGATTTCCATTTCTAGAACGATAAAACATTATTTTTTATAAAGCAATGCAAGAATCTTACAATCTGATTGGTTAATTACCCGGGTGTAAATGACACCCCACCCTATTGCACAAAGGGATAAAAAAAAAATTAAACAGATAATATTTGAAAAATGCACAGCAACGTCGGTGTTGAAAAATGTGTAGTGAGAGTTGGTCATATTAAGATTTCCCGGGAATAAAAAAAGAAAACGAACGCTAAATAAGAAATAAATTCGTTATCTCGGTGCAGTCAGGGGTGTACGCAATTTTACACCGGTGTTGAAAATGCATACGACCTTCGGCTGCGCCTCAGGGTGTATATATTTTCAACACCGGTGTAAAATTCTGCACACTCCTAATTACACAAAGAAAGCTAATATTTCCATCAAGACAAAAAGTAAATGAAACATTAAGGATATATTTTCTGTAAAAAACCCACATTTACCCGCTTTACACACTATGTGTACGTACGTCTCAGTCCAACATGTCTGAGCTCACATAAAGATTGTTTACATCACTAAATATTTATTGTATGAAATCCATATCGGTACACTAATCGGTTTAAGGTTCCACTAAAATCAAAATATAGGAGACTTCATAAACATCTAAACTTTGCCTGTATTTTTCAACCTATAATGAGTAAAGTCCTAAACTATCAGAACATATGTTCATTTAAACATACTTAACATATACACACTGTGTAAATTGTAAATAAACTTGAAATTGTTATGCTGTGGCCAAACCGGTTCTTGGGGTGAACACTAAATTTTCAAAAAAATCTGAAGGCCTGCGAGACGACTTAATTTGCTTAAAATTGGTATGGACGAATACTGTTACATGTAATGCAGGTCAAGCTCGTTTTGATTTGTCACATGCATATGTTTTAATGGCATATTTGTCCAATTTCTGTATTGCACCTTCGATATTTGTTCACCTAGATATATGAAATTAACTGAAACTCAAAAATCAATACATTTTCTGAAAAATCAACATGAGCTTGCCCTGCATTAGATATAACAGTATTCGTCCATTCCAATTTTAAACAAATTAAGTCGTCTCGCAGGCCTCCAGATTTTTTTGAAAATTTAGTGTTCACCCAAAGAACCGGTTTGGCCACAACATAACAATTTCAAGTTTATTTAGAATTTACACAGTGTGTATATGTTAAGTTTGTTTAAATGAACATATGTTCTCATAGTTTAGGACTTTACTCATTATAGGTTGAAAAATACAGGCAAAGTTTAGATGTTTATGAAGTGTCCTATATTTTGACTTTAGTGGAACCTTAATGCATTGTTTCGTGCTTTGAAAAGTACTTTATCTGAACCTTTTCATTGTTTTTTAAACGTAAATGCACTGACATATTACATTTTCAGCCATAGGAGTTTTGTTTTTTTACTCGATAAAACAAGGACACACTCGAAAAAACACGGACTGCTCTCGAAAAAACACAGACATATAAAAATGATTTTACTCTCCAAAATGTCCTTTTCAATGTAAAAGCAAGAATTTTTGTAAAGTATTTGTGTATCCAAGCATACATAGATTCCATGTGCACATTTGCATTGGTATGTGTATAAAAATGGCTTTAATCTATATTTTAGAATGAAGCATTGTAAGGCTATATTAAACGTTTTTAGAACAAAATAATTTATGGTTGATAATATCTTTTTATCAAATATACTAATTTACCTTCTATGATCTTGTATATAAGGTTCTAGCATATTTTTTTCACGTTATACCGGAAAGGAAGTCTGTTTGTTTACATTTTTGATCATATTCACTAGAAAAAAAGTGGTCACACTCGAAAAAACCCGATCAAATCACTCGAAAAACCACGATTCCAGCCAGACACTATACCTACCGAGATATAGTTCTTTCGTAAGATAGCATATATATACATATACAGAAAGCACACTACAGCATATATCAGTGCGAAAACTGGTGAAAAAAATGTATTTAAATATTATCATATAATGTCTAAATTTCCTCCCAAAAATATCAAACAAAAAGAACAGGTTCTTAGCCGACCGTGCGAGGGCTTTATAGCCAGTCAAGGTCGTTAAAAACCCCCATAAGTAATTTCTTACTCCATCAGGTAAAGTTACCTTAGGTGAATTTGGTAATAAAATGAAGAAAACTAAAAGATTAAAAGGTCATCTGTTGAATACTTTTACACAAGAAGAGGTATTGAGATTGTATATTACTAAAATAGATATGGGTTAAAGGTCAAAGATAAAGCACACAACCCCCCCTAAAAAAACAACAAAAAAAAACCCCAAAACATAGATCGAAAGACGAACTTTTTGCAAGTGTTATTGGAATACATGTGTGTACAACATTATTGATGCATAGACTAATGCATGATAAATGTTGCAATATATATATATATCTATTCATGCAGGCTGGTCAAGATGTGCTTATCATTGATGTGGGATATCTTACGGAGAAAGTAGTTGATCACGTGATTAAGAATGGACTGCTGAATAAAATGCAACAGCTTTCTATTCGGATAAGTTATGGAGATCCTAAGTCTGGAATCAAGTATTTAGCAGCACTAAAACATCTAAAAAAGCTGTTCGAAGCAGGTTTTAGGATATATTGGTCAAGACCAGAATTGACTGGTATTCTGCAGAATAACAAGAACAGAACGAGCTGCGTCTATCTAGATATGGTATGTTGATAGATAAGATCATCTCGATAAATAAAAATGTTTTATGTCAAAAAAAGATCTTATTTTCTCTTGCAATCTTTCCTCATTTCTTTCCTGTTCTTCATTCTTCTCTTTCCCTCTAACACACTGTTCTCTTCTATCGTTACGTAAGCATTTATATGACTTATTCGGAAGAATGTGGATTTTGCAAAGGGAGAACCGTAGCACAATTGTTTTTCGATTTAGCAGGAAATTAATGCATATCAAACAAACTTAACACTATTTTAAAAAAAAACAAGACAAGCAACAAATATTTATATACGAAGGAATTTATATGAATGCTATATATTTATCAATTACAAATAGTTATCAATTTCAATGAAGAAAATGTTTTCTTTGTTTTCGAAGAAATGATTTTCTTCTGTATAATGTCTATGAATAATTAGCCCTATATAATCCTCGAAAATAAGAACAACTGTACTATGACGTACTTTTGTTAAATAGAATATTGAATGTACCTAAATTGAACTCGATTAGAATTAAATAATTGACGATTTAATAGAAATGAAATTAAAATCGATCGTATAGTGTGTTAGACTCTGATCGACATCCCTTTCTCGAATCGAACTTATAAAGTTTGGAGAAGTTTTACAATTCTTTGCTTTTAAGTTCCTTTTCGCTCGCTCAAGAATAGACGTTCAATTCTTGTCTTCTCTAGTCGATGCCCTTTTTCTGCATCTGATGGAATACATGTACTTTTGTTTGGGTAAAGTAAAGCATATTTAAATCGGATAGATGCCCTGTTGCAAGGAAACATTTCTGTTCCTGCCAACATTACCTATTTTCCAGTGCAGGTCTAAAATGCCCGCTCTTAATCCCAGTCTAAAATACCCGCTCTTATTCCCAGTCTAAAATACCCGCTCTTAATCCCAGTCTAAAATACCCGCTCTTATTCCCAGTCTAAAATACCCGCTCTTAATCCCAGTCTAAAATACCCGCTCTCATTCCCAGTCTAAAATACCCGCTCTTAATCCCAGTCAACCTAACTTGCAGAACCTAGCTGTTGTATAAATTGTTAATTTGTTCAAGGGTCCATTGGTCGCCTATTGCAAGGCAATGTTTCTGACCCTGGACAAACCCCAATTTTCCAGTTGAGGTCCACATTTTCCCGTCTTTTATCCCGGTCGCAAAACAACCGTATTAATTATTTTGTCTTAGTTGGCTGTGCCGGATATAATTATATGCAGACACGTTCGTTCGAGTTGGGGAGGTTAAATCCGATGTCTTGAATAGGGTGAGTGCACACGCTCACTGCACGTTGAAGAATCTTTGCAACACATGTGTTTTTCAACAGACAATCGGCATTCCTATTGGAACCATGCCCTTTCACTGAATAAAAATTTGGTGACTATGTTGACTGCACTTTAAATAAAGGATTACTACAGATAAAGTGAAATCTGACATATGTATACTAAAATATGTTCTACATAGTTTGACTTACACCTATACGACGTAGGAACTATTTTGTTTTAAATATTTTCTACTTTCCAGTATGTTCTTTTTTGACCTGGCCCGATTTGGTGGTGTTAAATCTTACAAAGTCTTTCCGAATCGTTTTGCAAAGAATTTTAAAAAATAAACGCAATATTTCGCAAGACAAACAAGCTTCTTCGAGCATGCATCTATCCAGAACATTTTGATAAACAATATATCAGTGGCTGTTGTAAGTTATATCTAACTTAAAGGTAAAATTGGAGGCAGATAAGAAACTTTTGCAGCTCACAGTATATTTGTGAAATCAATCTTTAGTTACTAGTTCATTCCTGTTTTAAGATAACTATTATAATACATTGTAAGACGTGGTCAATGCGTCTATTTACATATTTTTTCTATACATTTATTAGATTTACAATGTATGTAGAAGCTTACAAGACACTACAAAACATGATAAGGATGTAAATATCATACAGAATCGGGTAAGAATATGAGGAAATTGTAAGATAAGATTGAGAATGGAAACGGGGAATGTGTCAAAGAGACAACAACCCGACCAAAGAGCATAAAACAGCCCAAAGCCACCAATGGGTCTTCAACACAGCGAGAAAATACCACACCCGTAGGCGGGCTTCAGCTGGCCTCTAAAAAAATGTGTACTAGTTTAGCGAAAATGGACGTCACACTAAACTCCGAAACATATAAATGAACCAAGATAGTACAGAATATTTTCAATCTTATTAGTCATGGAACTTTTTTTACCTCTTAAATTAGTTTTTGAAAGGCGCAAACATTGAGTCAGTAGCATATCCTGCTACTAAATTACTAATAATTACGCACGTTGTTTGAACGTATCAAAAAGGAACGAAATGATCAAATACACACACAGTATCGTCAAACATTTTACAATAAATGTCATGCAACAACACTCAAAATGTGCTAAAAATATTAAAAAAAATACCGAACACCAAGTTAACTTTAAAAAAATGTGAAGTTCTCAAAACCTGACAAAATCAAACGTTCGACTATATCTACTAACGGAACGAATGGAAAACAACTGTCATATTCCTGACTTGGTGCAGGCATTTACTAATTGGCAATGATGGGTTAAACTTGTTTTTTTTATTAGCTAACTGAACCTCCCACTTGTATAACAATTGTTTATAGTTCCGTTTTATTGACAAAATTGGGTAAACAACCCAAATAGACATAATAGGTAAACGTGACAATAATTGGGATCCAGCAGGCAAAACTGTGTAAACATACATCACAGACATATACAATACAATATACAATATTTTTATTTTTCCAAATTAAAGGGCCCATTAAGAGCATAACATTAATAACAACATGACATAAACATTACAGAGTGATTAAAGAAACATAAAATAATAGTTCAAATGCATGAGGAAAGGTACGGAAGCCGATAAGGGCCATTCAAAATTTTTTTTTTATGTCGTAATTACGACATAACATGTCGAAATAACGACATAACATGTCGTAATTTCGACATAGCATGTCGTTAAAACGACATAACATGTCGTTTAAACGACATCGCTATGTCGTAATTTCGACATATCATGTCGTTATAACGACATCGCTATGTCGTAATTTCGACATACCATGTCGTTATAACGACATCGATATGTCGTAATTTCGACATAACAAGTCGTAATTACGACATCACTATAGCTATGTCGTAATTTCGACATAGCATGTCGTTATAACGACATCGCTATGTCGTAATTTCGACATAACATGTCGTTATAACGACATCGCTATGTCGTAATTTCGACATAACAAGTCGTAATTACGACATCACTATAGCTATGTCGTAATTACGACATAGCTATGTCGTAAAAACGACATCGCTATATATATAAAAGAATATGTATTATGATTGCCAAGAGACTAAATGACACAGAAATAAGCAACTATAGGTCATCATAATGCCCTCAATAATGAGAAAAGCCCCCGCATAGTCAGCTATGAAAGAGGGACGAAAGATACCAGAGGGAGAGTCCCCGAAATGACAGCTGTTTAACAATTTAATTCAAACGAGTGAAGATAACGGTTTTAATAATGTACAAACAAAGACCGAAACACGAATATGTAACACAGCAACAAATGACAACCACTGAATTACAGACTCCTGACCGCTATCTGATAATAACGACAACCTTATAGTTTAACTTTTCACTTTTTGAAGCGATAGGAATTTCAAAATGGTCGCCAGTAAAGGCAAAGTTTGTATCGTAAACAAATTCATCTTTTTTTTTTTTTTAGAATATTGAACACTTTATGCAATCAAGCTTAATTAAAGTTATTCACTAGCACCTCAGACTTGCACATACTAGAACTTTATTTATAATCAAGTCAAATGAGACCCAGTTGAATAGGGGAGCAATTCAAGCTCCCTGGATCCTCTAATTATGTTTGGCATTGCAGGTTCTGAATAAGATGAATTTTAAGCTTTTCCCAATAAAGACTATGTTAAACTTTGGACTCATAGTGCTCAGACCCACGGATCTCTGTACCTTCATTTGTACACACTTGAATCTTAATGAACTACTGAGGCTTGAAGCAAATTATAACTGTATTGCTATTGTTGGTTCTTAATGAGATTCTTCAAGCGTCCTCCCCATTGAAGCCCTATTAAAACTTTGTACCCCAAGTTCTTTTAACCACTGTTCCCCAGGACAACTATTCCTACAAACTTAGAGGGAGGTTTGGGATCCCGCTAACATGTTTAACCCCGCCACATTCTTAATGTATGTGTCTGTCCCAAGTCTTTAATTTACATATTTGTTTTTCGTTTATTTTTGTACATAGAATAGGCCGCTAGTTTTTCTCGTTTGAATTGTATTACATTTGTCATTTCGGGGCCTTTTATAGTTGACTATGCGGTATGGGCTGTGATCATTGTTGAAGGCCGTACGGTGACCTATAATTGTTAATTTCTGTGTCATTTGGTTTCTTGTTGAGAGTTGCGTTTTTGAACAAACCAGCGTATCCCAAAGCCTTGATAACCTCTGTAGGCCCCAAATAAGACGAAAAAACATCAAAATTGGAGAGAAAATAGAAAATAAATGGTTTCTAACCTCAGGGATATTAACCCTTGGCATGCTGAATTGTTATCAGAAATTGTCTAAATTTCGAGTATTTGTAAAAATATGCAAATGATATGCAAATAAGCTGTGCCCTGATGCTGATGCATACTGATTGCATTAAATCTAAGATAGCCAAGGGTTAATATCCCTGAGGTTAGAAACAATTTTTTTCAGTTTTCTCTCCAATTTTGATGTTTTTTTTCGTCTTATTTGGGGCCTACAGAGGTTATCAAGGCCTTGGGATACGCTGGTTTGTTCAAAAACGCAACTCTCAACAAGAAACCAAATGACACAGAAATTTACAATTAAAGTCACCGTACGGCCTTCAACAATGATCACAGCCCATACCGCATAGTCAGCCATAAAAGGCCCCGAAATGACAAATGTAATACAATTCAAACGAGAAAAACTAGCGGCCTATTTTATGTACAAAAATAAACGAAAAACAAATATGTAAATTAAAGACTTGGGACATACACATACATAAAGAATGTGGCGGGGTTAAACATGTTAGCGGAATCCTAACCCTCCCCTTAAGTTTGTAGGAATAGTTGCCCTGGGGAACAGTGGTTAAAAGAACTTGGGGTACAAAGTTTTAATAGGGCTTCAATGGGGAGGACGCTTGAAGAATCTCATTAAGAACCAACAATAGCAATGCAGTAATAATTTGCATCAAGCCTCAGTAGTGACTGTACATTAAGATTCAAGTGTGTACAAATGAAGGTACAGAAATCCGTGGGTCTGAGCACTATGAGTCCAAAGTTTAACATAGTCTTTATTGGGAAAAGCTTAAAATTCATCTTATTCAGAACCTGCAATGGAAATGCAGGACTTCATAATTTACACAAATCTGTACATGCCAAACATAATTAGAGGCTCCAAGGAGCTTGAATTGCTCCCCTATTCAACTGGGTCTCATTTGACTTGATTATAAATAAAGTTCTAGTATGTGCAAGTCTGAGGTGCAAGTGAATAACTTTAATTAAGCTTGATTGCATATAGTGTTCATTATTCTAAAAAAAAAAAAGATGAATTTGTTTCCGCTACAAACTTTGCCTTTACTGACAACCATTTTGAAATGCCTATCGCATCAAAAAGTGAAAAGTTAAACTAAAAGGTTGCCGTTATTATCACATAGCGGTCAGGAGTCTGTAATTCAGTGGTTGTCATTTGTTTGCTGTGTTACATATTCGTTTTTCGGTCTTTGTTTGTACATTATTAAAACCGTTATTTTCATTCGTTTGAATTAAATTATTAAACAGCTGTCATGTCGGGGACTCTCCCTCTGGTATCTTTCGTCCCTCTTTTATAGCTGACTATGCGGGGGCTTTTCTCATTATTGAGGCCATTATGATGACCTATAGTTGTTAATTTCTGTGTCATTAAGTCTCTTGGCAATCATAATACATATTCTTTTATATATATATAGCGATGTCGTTATTACGACATAGCTATGTCGTTATTACGACATAGTGATGTCGTAATAACGACATGTTATGTCGAAATTACGACATAGCGATGTCGTTATAACGACATGTTATGTCGAAATTACGATATAGCGATGTCGTTATAACGACATGTTATGTCGAAATTACGACATGCTATGTCGTAATTACGACATAATTTTTTTTTTTGAATGGCCCTTATCGGCTTCCGTAGAAAGGATACACATAACCGATTTAAAAATTCAAACAAACATACAAATAACTTACAAAGACGCCAACAACAAAAAGATTTTCTGTAGTTGATAGTACATAAATATAATTTCATATACTCTTTCCCAATTGTTGGGATCCTGCAGCCAAAACTGTGTAAACATACATCACAGACATACAAACACTATATGTTTTCACTGGCTTTATTTTCAGTAATAAAAGATACAAAACAAAAAAATATACTGATTTGACGTACACAGATATTACTTCCTGTTTTATGAATACATTAAAGTTCGTTTTGGAGATTTTTTTTTTCCGTGATTGTGAATTAATGTTCCGTTTTATTAAATACTTGTTTCTTTACAGTTTTGAAACGCTTTACTACGATTAACTTTTTTTATCAACCAATTTAACACTTATTGACCGAAGTGTAAAAAGTATGTAATACAAGATTTTTTGGAACTGTGCATCGAATTGACCATTTTCACTTTCTATTTAGACAGATCACACATATTTAGTAATACCTGACGATCAGGCGCTTAGTAAATTAAATAACAAGGAGATAACTGAGCTCTATATCAGGTAAAGCAAGTAAACACAAGACTTATAACTAGCTGGTAACTGTAAATGTTCTTTAGTTCATTGTTATTTCCGAACAAATCGAATAAATTGTTACACACACGGTATCGCACCGTTTGAAATTAAGCGATTCCGTCAAAGGTTCTCTTGGTTGCAATATTCCAAATGGGTTTACGAGTTTGTAGCTTCTGTTCATAAATGTTGCCTTCTGTTACTAAAATGAAAACAGTAGCATGCACTTATGCGCTTATATGAATTTGAAGACAGAGGTACCTTCAAGAAACAGAAGAAAGATATCTACTCGGCATCTTTAAGTTGGCTAACAATATAAAATTTGCCGCTTCAATTACATAACATAAAAATAAGAAGATGTGGTATGACTGTCACTTGAGACAATTATCCATCAGAGACCAACTGACAGTGGATGTAAGCAACTGTAGGTCACCATATGGCTTCAACAATGAACAAAAACATATCGTAAAGTAATCTATAAAAGCCCCGGAAATGTCAAATGTAAAGAAGTTCAAACAAACTTGAAAAATACCAACCACCTAATTTATGTACGAAACAATAAACGAAAAACACAATAGAAAGTCCTGAATAACAGACGTCTGACTTGGGACAGGCACATACAGATTGTGGCGGGGTTGAACTTGTTACCGAGAGCTCCTTCGTCCCCAAATCTGGGAAAGTGGTGTAACAGCACAACATAAAAAAAACACTACTAAAATCATTTGAAAAAGGCTTGACTCATCAGATCGACACAAAGCACAAAAACAACCAGCAACACAACACCAAGACTAAAGACATACATCGAGATTTTCCCCGAAAGTTTTTACTTCCATTATTTAACATAAACTGAAACGGGTTGTCTGTTTGAACAGAAATATACTTTAAGCTATTATATAACAATCTATATGCTACCTGATATAACTTATATAACTTCGAAACATATATACTAATGCATTCATGGTACATAGCTATTTCTGTTGCTCACATTTTTTTGTTAAATCTATTGTTCTTATCGTTTGTTTGTGAACTAGCATTTGATTCATATCTTTACAGTTCGGAAATCCACATAATTGTTAGACGCATGTAATGTGTACGTTTTTTTAAAAATAAAAGTATGACTTCAAAATTTCGTCATTTATACAGTTCGTTTACATAAAACGTTTCGTGCTTATTATTAATTTAAAAAATCTGACCTCTGTTTTCGATAGTTATGCCATTATTTAATCACATGTTAGATGCATCTGTCTGGGACTGCAATTAGTTTTTATATTGTATCAATAGATATTTGACATCAGTGCAGATCCATTGTAAAGAAGTGATACGGTTAGGCAGTGTTACTGATGGGGGATGGAACGTGTGTCATGATAAAAGTTATAGGCCGTCTCTCCCATGTCTCGTTTATTCTTTCGGGTGAGTTCATTTTTATAATTGAAAGAAAAAAACGCCGCTAAATATGAACTATATCCAGTTAAATAAGCACCGATGTATGTTTTCATCTTTTTCTCTGTATGGAGAGCAAACATCAATATTCTAAACTTTGAACATAGACAACTATTACAAACTGTTATCCTGTCATTAAATAAATTGACTATGTTGATCGCATCAATCCCATCGAACTTGAAATAAAGGATACAACAGGTGCAGTTAAGTCTGTCTCATAGCTTGCTTGACATACATCTAGAAATTTACAATGAAGGTCGGTTGAGAACAAAACTTTACGACAAAAAAGATTTTTTCAACTTCCCATTTCTAAGTAGCAACATTCCAACAGCGCCTGCATATGAATTATAATCTTCCAGTTGATACGATACTCCAGAGCTTGAGTGTCCTATCATGATTGTCTCCGTAAAATGAAACTATTAAACCATGTGTTCCAAGTGGCGAAGCTGAAGTCACCTCTTCGAATGGATTCTTAAGGGGTCAGTAGCGAACCGTCTAACGAGTCTTTTCTTGCCAATTTTTGTATAAAATGTTAAAATTAAACAATGCGTTACAATAACAATAATAGTAGACGTGACGCCATTATGCCTCCTTTGAAATACACTACGGATCCATAGGGGTCACCACATGACGTCGTTAAACCAATCAAATCGTCACTAATTTACCTCTAGTTGGTTGACCTTTATGAAACATCTGTTTCACATGAGCAACATGATGGGTGCTACATATGAAGCAGAATTTAGAATCTTCTTGCGCGGAGCATCTGATATCACCCTGGTTTTGTTGGGTTCTTGTAGCTCAGTCTTTAGTCTTGTGTGGTTTTTGTACTTTTGCTAGTATTTTGGTAGTTTTTTTCCTTTTTCGCCTTGGCGTTGTCAGTTTGTCTTATTAATAAGTTAGACTTATGAGTTTGAATACCCTTTGGTATCTTGCTGCATTTTTTATCAGTGTTGTTCATACATCATGGAAGTTTCTATAAAAAAAAGTAGAGTAAAAACAATAGTCATATTCCTGACAGGCCGATTTGCTTTATCATTTACCTTCTTTATGAATGCCCAAACCCACACATTTAAATGCCAAGGTCTTATCATACATGAACACGTTAGGGGCTCTATGACCCATAGGTACAAAAGAAGAATAACCATTTTTTTTAAATCGTGTAAACTTTCAGAGAAATTTACGTTTATGATCGTTTATCTGCAGTTATCATTTGTAATAAAAAGTTTCTGCTACAATATCCAATATTATTTTTTTATTTTGGAAAGTGTTGACATTTGACAACTCTCAGTCATATATGTATAAAAAAACTAAGCTGCGTAAAAACCATAAAAAATTTAAGATACACATTTTCCTAAAAAAACATTGAAAAAAACCCAATATTTTAGGCTATACAATGTGTCACATGAAAAAAATCACTCTGAAAATCATTGAAATTAAGTAGCGTAACTTTAGACACGCATTGTTCACCTTTTTTTTTTTATATTGTCACAATAGATCGTGCTCAAATATAGAATACTAGAACACACCCGCGAAATCGCGGGTATTTAGAGCTTGGTTGAAAGTATGTAAACTATTGTAGGATGAATTTTTGTAAAAGATTTTATGTCTGGAGAATTTCAGAAAATTTCCAAAGTCCGTTATTTTTTTGCTCTCTGTTAAATTCCATGATTTTCGCGTTTCTGTATACTATAAACATACATATGATATAAATAAAGTGTGTTTGCTATTAACTATCATTTCCAAGTTTCTTCTCCACGGCGATCACTGCTATATTATATAGAGAGTCTCTATATATTTTAGGATTATAAACATAGTATACATGCAGAATAACGCGAAAATAATTGTCCTATCCCCGCGTAATTATGAAAATTATGTTTAAAGAGGGGAGTAAAGGGGGGGTATCTGCACGGAAGAACGCGAAATAAAATTGCCATTTCACGATGAGCGAACAATTAAAATTTCTTGCTCATTGATCTTTTTATCGATTTCAAGAAACACGACGAATAACGAACCTTTTTCACGGCTGCACGTGAAATAAAAAGTGGCAAAACACGTTGCACGAAAATAACCCTTTACCCCCTCTTTTAAAGTTTAAAATCGGAAGTCTTGGGTGTGACTTAAAAGTCGGGCTGATGACGGAAACAATATCCGGACGCCTTTTTCTTCGTTTTCTCCCCAAATAACCCAAACTGAATAATCATAAGAATGGATGACAAACGCGACTATGCATGGTACCTATAGGACACAGAGGCATGATGATTAATTTATTGGGGAAGGAAGAGAAGCGACACACAAAATGAGGTCTTCTCGTTTAATAGTATAGATAGAATGAATTTCATAACAGCGTGGACATGGACACATGGTAATTAAATGTTTTCGTCTGTATCACTGGCTGTCGACAACAAAGACTTCACGCAATTACAGTATGTCAGGGGCCTCTCAATGGGGATATACATAATTACAATCTTTACACATGTCAATTCATAAAATAAAAGTTTTTGCATGAAAGTTGATTTGGTCTTACTCAACTATTTTTTTTTGTTATTTGAGGACGCATATTTGAGACAATTCTGCATAAACGTTTATTTGCAATTTTATTCAAGCTGATTTCAAAAGCCTCTTGCAAAGCCACCCCTCCCTTATTTTAACTGAATCAGGAATGGTCGCCCCCTTACAATTTGAAATTGTACTCACTTCTTTTTCGGTTTCTCTGTTTCAATCTGTATCCATGAATTTAATGATATGTTCACAATACTAAACTGGTCAACAGTAACACGAGATGATGTACATGTTGTTATGTCAACATAACAGTAACAGCGTAATAAGTAATAGTTATCCCACGAGGACGCGGTGTGTCAGTGTAAGATCACGCGGAGGCCAGAGGGTGATCTTACACTGACACACCAAGTCCGAATGGGATAACGATTTTACATCCCAGCTGTTCTAGATTAGATAAAAAACCATTTACGCTTCATAAAATCTATTTTAGAACACCACACAATCATTATAATATACTTTATATATCACTATATAGTATATATCTTTTATGAGCCCCGGACTCAATGTTTAAATATGTTAAATTAACAGTGAGTTTGTATCCAGTCGTCCTGGTGTAGGGGTATGAATCGTGGGTCTATATGCTAAAGGTCTTGAATTCGAATCCCAGTATAGACACTGGATTTTTTCTAAATAAGTGTTGATAGTTAGTCTTTTCCGTATAAATAATTAGAAGTTTTATTGTGGATTTGACATTCCCGCCAAAATGTTACCAAACAAGGGAAAGCATGCAAAACAAAGAAACTCAAGCTAGGGTGATCTGGCAGGGGTGATCCGGCTCAGATCAGCCCTGGTAGAACAAAGGAGCTGGGATGTAATAACCTTTAAACTGGTTGCACTCGTTTGATTATTCTAGTATAAAAGGTATTGTGAACATATTTAATTTATGGATAGACACTGAAACACAATACAATTCTAAATTAAATCGCTGTGATCCGTCCATTCGTTTTTCAAATCCACAGAACAGCTGCATTTAACAGGTCGGGCACATTTCCTTATACGGTCATGTATTATTTAGCATACTTATGCATGTATTAGTGTTTGTTTACAAATAAATCTTTTTTTTTTATTTTAGCGATTGACCAATCCACTAAATGATTTGCAATGCATGATGGACTACTTGTCTATTAAACTGACACACTACTTCATTTTTCACTAATTGCCAGAAAAGAATTTTTTCTTACTTTTTTTCTCTCGATTACTTGTTGAAATTATCTCTAAATATACTCATTCTTTCAAAAGAAACTTTTTGCTGTGAGTATATAAATATATCCGAAACAACCTCCTATAAACTTTCATACAAAAACTTTTATTTTATGAATGGACATGTGTAAAGATTGTTATTATGTATATCCCCATTGAGAGGCCCCTGGCATTCTGTAATTGCGTGAAGACTTTGTTGTCGACAACCAGTGATACACACGATAACATTTAATTACCATGTGTCCATGTCCACGCTGTTATGAAATTCATTCTATATTCTATATTTGAGCACGATCTATTGTGACAATATAAAACAAAATTTGGTGAACAATGCGTGCCTTTGTCTACACTGTTATGAAATTCATTCTAATTGATAAAGTAAAATATTTGCTTTTTAGTATAAACTGGGACTTTAGTTTTGACGCTGCCATTGTAGAAGCTTACAGTTGTGACGTACATTCATTTGATCCAAGGTGAGAAAAACGACCAATTGCAAATTCATACTTAAATATGAATAAAGATAAATATTTTAAACTGTTTTCTTACAAAATAAAAAAAAAAAAAAATAAATATGGCCATTAACAACAGTGTACAATCCAATGGAGTGAAGACCAAAGTCCAATCAGAAGGTTAAAACGAAAAGTTTTAAAACAAAACCGTTTCCAGAAATCTTTAGAAAAACGTCAGTTACACAGGTTAAGCTTCCGCTTAAAGATTACTTGGTTAAGGTCCATGTTAACTTTATCAATTACAATGCACTCGTTCTATTTGAACATAATCCGGTGACTTGAAGTACTAGTAAATAAGACCAAATACCACAAATATCGGTTTATAACTTTTGTTCGGAGCGGATATCATAGAAAGCCGCCTAAAACATAAGTAGATTTTCTGATTTGCCAAACTGCAAAATATTATTTCATTGAAAATCTCAAAAATAGATGGAACAATTATTTCAGAGGAATTTAAAATCAATAAGCCATTTACCTAAAGTTGTTACTTCTAGAGCCGGCGGGACCTAGTTTTACATTAGAACATACAGAAATTATACAGAAAAACCGAGGCTACCAATAAAGCTATCTTTAAGGAACAGTTGACTTGATTTGTATTTTCTGTAGTGTATTTGGAAATGTTTTAAGAATTTTTTTGACACAAACGTCAAAGCTTCAAGTTTAGTAACATCATTCGTTGTCGTTTTTCTTTATAACTATTAAAATGAATTCAGTTTCTGGCATATCAAGAAAACATTAGATCGAGAATGGTTATTTTGTATTTATTTTTTTGTAAAAAGATATATTTCTGCAAATCAGCATAATACTTTGAACTTAACTTGTAATCCTATTGGGATATGTTGTCGACATGTCTTCCTGTATTTAAAAAGAGATGCCTTAATAGAAGTTGTTAATTTTAGTTGATGTGGCAATATATAGAAAACAATTAATGTCGAATATTCACATATACAAATCCTTGAGTATAAGAAGTCGTTATTGTGCATAAGTGTTCATAAATAGTCCACATGTTTCTTTAGTATGCAAAGAACAGATTTTAGAAGGGCAGGTCATATATGGTTCCACAATCTTGGACTTGGTAATAAAACGGAAATATACAGAAAAGATAAATGGAAGATTTCAACTTTAAAAGATATATATAGCGACTTAGGTCATAAATCGGTAAGATAAAAAGACATTTTCAAAACTTAATTTTACACATCATTTATGCATTGTAAAAGTGGGTTAGAAAAATTTAACTATTCTTTTGTGTATCTCTTTATTAGTAGCCCTCAATAAGTGAGAGAGAGAGAGAGTCACATCAAAAGTACAAATGATTGGGGTGACTCTAAATCAATTCAACAATGATATCGGCAACGAGGAGTAGATAATAACAGTGAACATGTCTTTTTGCGTATATCAAAATTTCATTAAGTTGTTTACCAGTTTAAAAAAAAAAAGTCAAATAAACTGAGGTGTAATGAAAATATGAATGTTGATAACAAAAACATTTGAATGCATAAGTAGTGGTGTTAATGCTAGGAATTATGATTTCGTTTTTTTTTTCTTTTTCATCAAAATATAAAAAAAAACTTGCGACACACATCCTTGTCCTTTCGTCTCTCACGTCTGGTAGATAGTTGTCTCGTTGGCAATCATACCACACTCTTTATATTTATATACATAAATCATGCTTGCATCTGTACTTTAATTTGGTTAATTATCATTTTCGCTAAGAAAATGACTTCTTGTTTTTCAATACAATGAACAAAAAAATAATCTTAAAATATCAATTAGTTTGATGTATTTGATGTGTTTGATTATTTTCAGACAACAGTCGACATCTTGAAAATTGATATCGAGGCTATGGAATGGATATCTATACCAAACATGATCCAAACAGGTGCAATAGTAAATGTCAGACAATTGTTAGTGGAATTTCACGCCTACTCAGTCTTATTACAACACTTGTACATATTAAGAAGTATTTATAACGAAGGATTTAGAATTTATTGGTACCACAGAAATCCAGGAAAACGAAACATAATTCAAGGCAAATTTGTAGAGAACACTGCATGTTACGAAGTATATTTTATTAGAATTTGAAAGATCATACCTAAGTTAAAACCAGATGATACGACAGTGTAATTGAATATTCCTATAGAATAGAATAAAACGTTAACTATGATATCTATTTAAGAGGCCACGTCACTTGTTTCCGGCATGTTCTTCATCAGGTATGCACGAGAACCAAATGAAAGTTTTGAAAGCCAAATAAATCAAAAGTTTGGAACATCAAGACCAAAAAGGATATAAATGAAACAGCCGACCGTTCATGTTGAAATTTGACTCATATATTTGACAAATTTATGCTTTAAAACGATAATTATAAAAACAAGAAGATGTGGTATGATTGCCAATGAGACAACTCTCCACAAGAGACCAAAATGACACAGACATTAACAACTATAGGTCACCGACGGCCTTCAACAATGAGTAAAACCCAAACCGCATCAGCTATAAAAGTAAGTTTGTTTTCTGTGTAATTTTGAATGCTTAGGTGCATCTTCAATATCCAAACTCATATGCACCTACCAACATCGCCTGTTTTCTCATTATTTCTCTTTAATTTAACAGTCTCATTATAGTGTGTAGCTCCATACTACAATTGGTGAATCCATAAGTATACTAGATTTTTAAAACTTATAGTAACAAGAGTTTGTATTTGTTATTCAAACACACCTACTTTGTTGTGATGACTCATAATAAACTTAAGGTATTTAGAGTTACGGTTATTACATTTACTGTTACGGTTATATATTTTGGAAGAAGACTTACCAACTGGTCCGAGTACACAAATATAGTCCAGACGTTGCGCACGATGTTGGTACCAATTCCATTTTGCTATAGATTAGCATAAAAATAAATACGTAGACTGGTCAGTTCGATAAAAATATAGTGATTTCTGATTGAATTCATTCCATTAGACTTGAAGTTAAAGAAAAAAAGGAACCGAAATTTAAAATACCAGGAATTATAACACTTAATTATCCCATTTTTACGCAAAAACGTAATGTCCAACGTTTCATTTTGTGTGCAAAAGATCAGAGTTCCGTTTCTCTCCTACGGTATTTTTTCTCTGATCATCGTAAAACTTCACAATAATATTGCTATTGTTATAATTATTCGCGTGTTAAAGCAAAATCAATATCACTGAAACCGTAATCCGGAAAATTTTATTTTTGTAAACGGTCTGAAAAATGTCCAACCGTATGCAAAGTAAGTATATTTCGGGTTTGCGCATTTATACCGTGAAATTGAAAAAGCTGAGAGAAAAAATATTTATTATATTTTGAAAGTTTTTTTACTTTTCTCCTGGTTCATGATATTTTTTTGCCGGAAACCATGCGTATAGTTTCTATTGCAATGACTTCAAAAAGTATAGCCATCTTGTCCCAACGAAAAATACGCTGTATTTTCTTTAAAATTGAGGTTTTAACCAGCTGTCTATCAAATAAGCATAGTTAGATCATAAAAAATAAAACTTGGCGGTAAAGGTTTTTCTGTTTTTCTTCTTAAACAATATAGTGTTTAATATTTTTTCGTTAGGCAACAAGGTTTTTAGATCGTTTCAAAAAGTATAGCCGTTTTGTCCCAACGTTCGCAAAACGTAATTGATGTCATGCTCTGGTTTTTAATTTTATATCGTAATTATTTGTTTCCAGTTTAATTCGAATGAAAATAAAAATACATGTATAATATACAATACAACCAATGTATGAGAAAGGAATAGTTTAAGTTTAAATTCAATGGTTGACCAAATGAGATCGATATAAAAAAAAATATCGGGATCTTACGGTTTTTTTTTATAGCATATTTGTTTTATATAAGGAACATTGTCTATCTGCAAGATTTAAATCGTCAAAAGTAACATGTATATATTTTTGTTAATAAAATAAAATAGAGAAAACCCATTGCTGGCAATTATAACAAACAAAGGATATGCCACAAAAATACGGAAATGAGAAAATTTAAAACATGAGTCCCGAATGTTTAACTATCTAAATATTTTGCGACAAAGAAAGCATCGGGAAATGATAAAATATAGAAAGGAAACGGAAACGGGAAGAAATGCAACATAAGGAATAAATATGCAAAAAATAGGAGAATATGAATTCATAATCTAATTTATATTAAAAATAAATCTGTGTAAATTTGGACATTATTGTATCGGATTAATTAATGCGAACTGCTGCCGAAAAGAAAATTATCAATTATGGCCTGGAAAGACTGACAACTCCTGTAAATGAATTTCATTAAAAAAATATCTATACGACCACTTTGAGTTTTATTTGTAAATTTATGCATTTTTTTCAGACAATCCGAAATCGGTTACCAAGTTCACAACAGTAAATTTAGTTATCAATAATATGCTTGAACGCCTGAAACTTTCTTTGAAATCGTCGAAATCGCCTTATTTTGAGGAACGTCGTGAAACGCTAAGTAGTACCAACATCGTGCGCAACGTCTGATAGTGTGGACAGTGTTTTACTTGCCAGTTTTTTTTATAACCCTTTCAAATTTATTTCTCCATGTTTTATGCCTCAAATAGCAAGTAGGGGGATGAAATTACACTTTAAAAAAATTTGGGTCATGAATTTTAAGGTAAAGTAGTGATTTGGTCCAGCTGAAAAAGGTTAAAAATTAGCACTTCGGCAGCTGTCAAAAGATTTCAAGACACCATTAACATAAAATTGTCCATATTTTGAGTTAGAGCCGATGAAGTTTTCTATAATTTTAATATAATTTGTCCCAAAAGTAGTACAACACACTGTAAAAATATTATTGAGAAAGCGCAGGTGGGATTTTTTTAATTTTCATTTATTGTCTAAAAGAAATGCACTACGAAATAACTGTGTACTCGGACCAACTGGTAATTGCGCCCTGGTAACATACATTTTGGAATTATCCAATACATTAAAAAAAAAAATTAAAGTAACTTTTAAATTATTTTATTTATTATGTATGTGAGAGGGTAGATGTTAGTGTCTTTTTTGTAACAACAAATTTGTTCCGGCGTGACATTTGTTCCGCCGGAACTTATTTCATAGAAAATATGTTCCACCTGAATTTATATCACAGAAAATTTATACCCGGAATATATATTATAATGAAATATGTTCCAGCACTGTAAAATTTGTTCCGGAACTTATTTTTTTACTTAATGATAAATAAGTTCCGGTGTTATAGATTTACATGATGCATTAATTTTATATCAAGCAAAACATTCTATAGTTGTACCTGACAAATTTAATAGTTCATCATTGAAGTCTTTAAACAACATGAGAACATTCAAAATAAGGTAAATATTTTAGAAATTCAAATTGAGTCAGCATATATATTGTACGTTGATAATATGATTAAATAACAAAGGCACACCTATGATTAACAACTGTGACAAATATTTAAAACACACTATTTCATTTTTCTACAAATTCTGATATAAAGTAACATATGTTGATTTGCAATATTCATAAATAAATGATTGATTTATAAAAATTTTCTGATTGATTTTTCTTATTCTTCGCTTTTCTGACTACCTGTTAATTAGTGTTAATAGGGTAGTTTTTTTATGGATAATGTAATTAAACATTTTGCTATACTCCACAGAATCCATATTGGATGTTTACACTTTTTATTTATTACATTATCAATATAATACATGTTTTTATAATGTACTTAATTATAACTTTAAACTCACTGATAACAATGCTCAGTATAAAAGATAACTTGTATAACCAGTGGAACATATTTCACAGACAAGGAACCTATCTCACCAGATAAGGAACAAATCTCACAAACCCGGAAATTATTTCACTAGATAAGGAACAAATTTCACAAACCAGAACTTATTTCACCAGGAAAATTGTGGAACTTATTTTATAGAGATGGAACAAATCATTTAGAAATTATCTGTGAAAAAAGTTCTACCAGAATATATTTCCTGTGATATTTGTTCCACTGGAAGTTTTTTCGCAGGAACAAATTTTGGCTCACACAACCGCCTCGGTGGTCTCGTGGTAGCGTGTTCGCCTCGAGTGCGGGAGGTCGTGGGTTCAAACCCCAGCCGGGTCAAACCAAAGACTTTAAAATTGGTATTTGCTGCTTCTCCGCTAATCACGCGGCATTAAGGAGTAAGAGCAAAGACTGATTGGCTCGGAGTCAGAATAATGTGTCCGGGTAAGGTGATATGTCTTCCTGTGGACTGTTACCTTGTGAACTAGCATGTTAAAAATCCGGCTCAGCATGTCGGTCTAGTACAAATCAGGGTTAACATTCATATTACATTAACATGTTCTCGTCCTGAATATGCATATTTGCCGCTGGATGTTAAGCAGCCATCCATCATCATCATCCTTGGTGTGCTGGCCAATAAAAGACCGAATGACAAACATGATTTAACATGATTTGTATTTGTTTTTAAATATATTTAACCACTGTCCAAGTTAGGGGTGGGATAAAGAGCTTACACACATGCTTAACCATGGAACATTATTTATGTGACTGTCCCAAGCGTGGAGCCGTTAGTATGTTAGTTGCCGGGGGTCATGATTGTATTTCGTTATGAGCTTAATATAGGCGGATAGTTTCTTTTCGTATTGTTTCGCAATTTGTTTCCCTGGCTTTTTGTAGCTTTTTGCTCATTGTTGGAGGCAGTACGGTGACATACGTTGTTATATCCTTATACATTGTCTTAGATTTATACTTGTTTCATTAACGATCATATACTATCACATCTTGTTATTCTCGTTAAGATTTTTGACAATAGAATGTACAAACATTGCGAATGTTGACACAACACTGTGCTTAAAAATTGTGGTCATGAATACGTACAGTTATGTGAAGTAACCACCCAAAAGTTAATCTTTAATTTACTAATAGAGATTTCCAATAAAATGACATACGTACGTAACTCGACGTACGGACCTAATGGGACGGGTTATTGCCAACCATCGAATTTGATTAAATACGACGCTTAAGTTCAAACAAAGTATTCCTAGACTTATAAAATCACACACTGGAATTTTCGACCATATAAAACAAAATTTGTCATGACGAAAAATAATAGAAATATTGCATTTTTATTTATCACGTGGTTTTCCAGATTCCCGCCTTTATTTTACTGACATAAGATCGCGTATTAACACACGTATCCCATACCTATCATACGTACGATTCGAGTTATCTTTCATGGTTTTGATTATGACAATTATTTTTCAATATACTGTGCAGATGAACGCCTCATTATACTTTTTTTCTGTCTTACTTTATAGTTTATTTATCTTTTTATTATATTTGTTGCGGGGAAAATATTAATAAGGATATGTTTCTGACAATTTCAGAAATATCGGATGCAGAATTTGTCAGAATCTGTCTCTTTATAAAGGTTAAAAATTCAGATAAAACTATCGCTTCCATTTAATTTATAAACAAAAGTATTTTTCATTTATTATAAAATGTATTGATAAAGAAATCCCTATATATGTGGTTATTTTTAGAATTAAGGTGTGTTCGATTAGGGATAGTTCTGTATTAATTTGTTTAACGGGAATGCTATCGGAGTGCAAATACAAAAGATATTTCCAGGGAATATATTTGATATCCCTTGAAGTGAACTATATTAGAGTATTTTATCCATTTTATTGATAAACAACTAAAAGGGGATCACCGAATTCATTTTAATGAATAAATCATTAACGGAAGTAACATTGAACAACATAATATAATACGATTTTGTTGCCAGATGCGGATCCAAGATGCAATTTAAAATGAACAAGGTAGATACAAATATCTTTTTTAAG